TTACTTCTTCTTCTCTCTCTCTCTCTCTCTCTCTCTCTCTCTCTCTCTCCTAAATTAATTCAAGTAAAATATTTTAACACAAAGGAACATTGGAATCCAAATCTCCACCGCAAACATCAGAATCGAGCTTGGAGGAAATTATAAAGGAGAAAGATGTTTGGCGCAAAGGATTAAAAGTCTTTCAGCAACTCGGCCTGGACAAGACCGCTCTCGCGGCTGATGATCGATGCAAACTTTGTCTTGTGCACAAAATGATTCAGTACGATTAGCGAAATAATTTAATGAAGCATTTAGATAAACAATATTTTTCCCGGTAATCGTAGATGCGAGGATTTGGCTGACATGGTGACGCAACCATACGAAGAATTGAATGCTGACATGAAAGCCTTTGAAAAGCGTCAAGAAAATCGCTGTTCCAATCCGGACGAAACATCTTCTGCTAATAACAAATAAAAGCAATGCAACGACAGTGTAAAAACAAATTATCTCATTATTTATTTATTCAACCAATGTTTTAGAATGGTCTTTCTTCAACTAACGTTTTAATTTTCAATCAATTTCTAATAACTCAAATTCATTAATAATTCAATAAATTACACACACACACACACACACACACACACACACACACACACACACACACACACACACACACACACACACATATATATATATAGAATTGTATAAATTACACTTTATTGTACAGTAATATACATTTAACTATAATTAATATAACAAAGTAATATAGTGTTAGACTTAAAAAAAAAAACTTCCGAAAACTTTATTTATTGATTCAATTTATTATTATAACACGTAAAAATCTTTTCTAACATTTATCATTTGAGATAATCATATACAGGGTATAAATGTCATGACATTTATTCGTAATAGAAAAGAAAAAGTAAATTGGTAAGATATTGGAAAAATTTATTTTTATTTATATAAAAATCCTATATTTCCAAATGGCATATATTTGTATATTTTGAATTTTTCTTTATACTTGTAATATCTCTTTTATTGTTATTTAATGTCATTATTGTATGTTAATGTAAGTTGTTATTCCATTATAATTTTTGTATCTTAGAATGTATGTAAGGCTATAATATCAAGCGCAAATGTAGATGTATTATATAATTATGTATTATATAATTATAGCAATAAGCAATATCTCATAAAAATATTTTTAAGTCTTCACTTGCACATTCTGCGAGTAATAAATTTATATTCATAATTATATTGTGATTTATCAATTTTATTTTATGAACTATATAAATTAAATATAATATACTAAAATAAAAATATGCGTATAAATTCCGTATAATTACGTGAGAAATATATAAATAAATAAATTTGGAAAAGAAAAATTATTGAAGTATCTAAAATTTGGCAAATAAAAATAATGTTAATTCCTTAAATTTATAAGAATTAAGTATTTGCATGTTCATATAATGTATACAAAAATAAGTTCAAATATAGAGGTGTTTATAAACGCACATTTATTCCAGCATCGGCAAAATACATATTCAGTAAATATTGCTATTGAAGCAATAAAAAAATCATATTTGGAAGATTATGAATATTTTCTTGGATTTATATTTGGTAGTTTAATAAATATTCTGCGAATGCGTGTGGTGAGTGTTATACAAAAATGCGTACAATATTTCTTTTTATTGGAACAATCTATTAAATTCTCGAATTGAG